TGAAGAGCCGAGAGACAGTGCCCAGGCCCAGAGTTCAAGCCCCACAGTCAAAAAAAAAATTCAATACACTTAGTATTTGTGATATTATGAAATATATATTTGCTGTTTGTCCTCATTTCTTGGCACACAAGAATCTCCAAAGTTCTAAGTGTCTTTCTGCATATGAAGAAGTTGACCTGATGGTTGTCTGTCACCACAGCTACAGGATTGAGGGCAGTTCAAGGAAAGACCAAGGCAAGATTTCGGTGCTAGGACTATTAGCCTTCCTCCCAATATCCAGGGAGAGGAGAGAGGCTGAAGGTTGAGCTAATTAAATACAGATAATAATTTCATCACTTATGTCCACATAATAAAGTTTCCATTAAAAACTAAAATAACTTGTGGATGCTGTGCCTGGAGCAGGTGCAGAAGCTCTGCATCTTTTCTCCCTCTACCTCATCCCTTACATCTCTTACCTGTACCTCTGGAGTATCCTGTATAATAATCCACAGGAACACAATTGATTTACTACTGTGGGTTATGCAGGATATTTGCAAGACAGTGTTTGTGCACCAATAAACCAAGTGTTTCTGTGGCCCCTCCTATCAAATTCACGCAACTCCAAGGAAGAGGTACTTGAAATCTTTGTTGCTAGTGGTCCTCAAGGTCTCTTATTCTGGCAAGCCAAAGCAAGACTGCAGGCAAGGTGGGGATAGAGGTCATGTTTATTGAAAGCTCTCTGTCCACGGAGTTATCAGTAGCAATAGCAGACTGTCCACAGGCTCGTCTTCTGTCCATCAACACACCTCTCACCCATTGTCCACCCAACCCAGGGTGCCTGTTTTATACTCCAACCACACGAAACTTAAGCATTTGGCCGAGGATGAGACCACGCATGCGCACTCGGTCTCAAGGCTACATGCACAGCGCATGTGTACTGGACTCTGGCTTACATGGATATTCTGAACCAGCTGAATCCCAATCCTTGGGATGTGTACACCCAAAGCCATCCTGGGGTTAGAGGTGAGAAAGCCCAAGTAACTCGTTTACCCCATCATCTGGTCAATCAGAGGCTTGTGACTGGAGTGGGAAAGAGTACAAAGTGAAAGCCGTGGAAGCTGACACTCTCTCCAAGTAGACAATGTCAGATGGACTTGAATTGGAAGACGCTCCCCCCTCCACCCACCCCCTCCTCCACCCCACAGGTCCTCAGCCCAGCTCTTTGTACCACTGCCCCTACACACAAGACTTCTGTGTTGTGAGAGACAATAGGGGAAAGTGAGTTTGCATTTCCCATATCCATTCCACGCTAGTATTCCTAATAGGTAATTCATGTCCTGATGGCCTCAGTTGTTCCTTCTGAACCCAGGGTGGCTAGACTGTGATGACTTGTGCTTGGTTTCCAACAGAAACTAACACTAGACCCCCACCTACCCACCCACGCACCCACCCAGGTTGGACTCACTAGCAAGGGCCCTTGGGAAATTTAGAAGCAACCACACCCAGCCTGCAAAGCCCTTGGGGATCACTTCAGGCTGGTGCGGGAGCAGGAAGAAGAGGAGGAGGCAAGGCAGGGTCAGGTTCAAGGCAGATGCAAAGCCTGCATCTGCCACTGCCAATGGGTGCTCTGGTGTGCATTCACTGCCACTTAACTGTTAGCCCTGCCAACCACAGGACTGTTCTTCCACCGCCATAACAGACCTCCTGTGAGGTCTACCAGCTGAAAGGAACACACATGCGCGTGCGCACACACACACACACACACACACACACACACACACACACACACACACACGGTAAACTGCCATGGGTGGCAGGGGTGGCTCTAGGAACTACAACTCAAGCTTCTAGTGCATCATAGCACAGTTCCTCCTGTCTTATTTTTCTCCCTGTGTAGCTCTAGAGACCATTCTGTGGCTCTAGTCCACTCTCAGTAAATGATGCCCAGACATAGTTGGGCATTACTGTCATGTTAGAAGGGACAGAGTCAGTGGTTAGAGAGATTTCCCAAAGAGCCTCTGACCTAGAGGAAAAGACTTCACCCATTTGGACAAAACTGAGCTTCTAAAAGTTCAGATGCCATGCTGACTTCACATCCCCCAAAGGGTAGGCTAATGGAAGAATAAATGGGAATCCTCATGGTTTCATGCTGCTCTGATCAACAAGCAAATACTTCTGGGGGCATCTATCATGGGTCAGTTCTGTCTCTGCTGTGGGTAAGGAGACAAAAAGAAGGAGGCAGAATTATTCTCAGTCAGTTGGTTTCAAACCTCCCTGCAAACCTCTAAGCTCCCTCTAAACTCTAACCTACAAAAGAGTTACCAGAGGTGCATTTCCTGGATTCCCCCATCCCCAGAAATTCTGATTCTATAAGCCCAGGGTTCCTGAGTATGCGATTTTAATAGCCACATCTGGGTGAATGGGATGCAGGAGATCCTGAAACTAGACCATCTTTGGGAGACACTGGCCTGTGACCTGTTCCTGTTTTGAAGTAGTTTGCCACCTGAATGAGGTGTTGGCAAATAACCACAAAGCAACAAATGATACATAGCAATCCATTCTGTGATGATGCAGCTTCTAAGCATCCTAGACATTCGTTAAGAGGAACCTTAATGAAGCCCTGAGCACTTGGCAGGCATTTTGAATGAGTGCCTGGCTTGATGTTAGGCAGGACTTAGACATAAGCAGCCCTAAGCAATCCTGTTAATCAAACCCCCTGATTCACGGTGACAAGGTGTCCACAAGCACACAGCACAAATGTGGATGAAGGCATGGGCTAGAAGACCACCAAACAGGTAAAGAGGCCTCTGAGGTTGCTTACAGGATGTGCTCATCAGGAGAACTATAAAACATCATGTTTGCATTTTCACTCTGCTGCATTCATGTGGTTTCCTGAACTTCACAATCTAACATTTATAAGGGCTGGGGTGGGGTGGGGGGGGGGAGAAATTGCTGTTAAGAAACCCAAATAATGCAGCACTCTGAGGCAGCCAGCCAGCTGCTAACAAGAATAACATCTGAGCATCAATTAGAGCATCGTTCACAGTTCTCCTTCAGAAAGGAGATATTCGGTGAGAAAGAAAAATAATAAATCCTGTTCAATGTAAAATAAAGTTTGGGACTCCCCAGGTACAAAGGCTGGCAGCTCTCAGTCATCTGATGACAGTAAATACAAGAGGAGAAAGTTCTGTCCTCTACAGAGAAAAGAAAGGACACTAAAAGAAGCCTTGCTTGTTTATTTAATGGGAATATTTATAAAAGATGGTGACGTATTTTCTCAATGTTGCAAGGCCATAAATTATTAACCATGGATTCCAAAACCAAATGCTTGCTTCACTAAAAGGCTGTCTGGATGGCTCACAAGGGGAGAGCAGGAAGTGTCCCAAGGTACTCCCTTTCCTCCACCCATACACAGAAAATTCCACTGGGCAAAAATTAAAGGGTCTGATTATTTAATTAATTTCACTACAGGGCACTACATTGTAAATTTGCAAAAGCCTTTGGAGATCACTCAGACACAGGTTCAATTTTTTTTTTAAACAGGTGACCCAGAGAGACAAAAGACATATGTTATCTCTCCTGTGTGGAAGTTAGATCTAATTTATAAGTATATAGGTACACACACAGGATCCTATGTACAAGTATCTAGTTGTGTTCACTAAAGTATTATATTTTCAGGGGAGAATTAAAATGGTACAACTCTTGTCACAATTTATAGCCTAACAAAATGAATACCAGGAAGTTGGTCATTGAGATGTGTGGAGAGGGGAGAGATCAAAGGGTGGTTGGCAAATGAATGAAGAGAAGAAGGGGAAAAGAATGAAATCATAATATGCAATGTATATCCTAGGAGAACAGAGTGGATTGGTGGGGTTGGGAGGAATGGGAGAGGACGATACAAGGGGTCAGATCAATCAAGATGTATTATATTCATAAACTGGCATGTTGAATTATAACCCCTTTGTACAACTAAAGATAATAAAAATTCAGTTCAAAAAATGATTTTACAGGTGAGACATTCCAAGGAGATATGTCTCTGAAGTCACCATTAGAAGATTTAAGTTTCCAGGAAATACCATGAGTGAATATTCTGAAGCCAATATTCTTTGATGTACTTTGGAATTCTTTTTTTTTTTTGTCTTTTCTTTTTTTTTTTGGTACTGGGGATCGAACCCAGGATGTTGCACTTGCTAGGCAAGCGCTTTGCCACTGAGCTACATCCCAGCCCACTTTGGAATTCTTCAATCATTCTTTTATAGTTGTAAATGCTTGAATTGCAACTCCCAGATTAAGATTCTCATTCAGACTAAGCGTCTCATTCAGAGGATCGTGTTCAGTTACAAGTACCTCAAGAAATATAGCAGGAGTAAGTTTTAGAGTACATAGATGAAAATAATTGATCATAAACCTTATAGACAATTAAAAGGAATAAGCATTCCAACACAAAGAAATAAATGTTGAGGAAGATGGAATACTAATTATCCCAATTGGAATATCACATACTGTATTCAAGGTAGGAAATCATCACACTGTACCCTATTAAAAATTACTTGGTGAGCATTTGTTGAACAAGACCTGATAACTCTTAATGATTATTATCTTGCCACCCCAATACTTCATTACAGGGTAGCAAATAATTGTCCAACGAATCTACTTTCTCTTGTGTGACCAGTTAAAACCTTATCCTTTCAGATAAAATAGAATGTATGGAAGATTTTATAGATTTGTTGTTTGTATGTTTAATTGTGTAGGCAATTCTGTGTATGTATTTGTGTGTATATTTTTTCTAACCACAAATGTGTTCTCCTTAGATCATACTATTCCACGGTTTTCAGAAATGAGCCCACCGCGTGAATTTGTTTGCCATTTGGCTTATGGTCATTAAAATAACATTTTCTCAAATGTTTCATTACTTGGGCTGTAGAGAAATATCTTATTCAATAAGATGTCCGGGAATACTAAATAAACTCTGCAAGATGAAATTGAAAACTAACAGATATCAAGTTCTCCTGATGACTTACCAGAAATCAATCAGGATTCCAGGTGATTTGTGCAGGCTGAAGTCCCCTCTGTCTTGTTCATGGTCCAGAGCAGCACAACTTTTGAGTCTTCAAAATAGTTTCTTTCATTAGGCTCCAGTTTGCTGCATTCAAACAACACAAAACACCAAGTCAGAAGGAAAATGCCACTTCAAGCAGTTACTGGGGATTCAGGGGAAATCCCTGGCCTTTCTCAAATGGCTATCTGATAACCTCAAATAAGCATCTTAATTACCAAAACGAAGCTACAGCACATCTTATGTACACAAGGGTACTCTAAAATACCAGAGGTGGGGGTGCGCAGGGAAAGAAAGGAAACCAAGTAGGATTTTGGGGTGGGTATACAAGTGGAAGACGTGCTTGCCAAATTTGAAGTTTATTAACTGAATGAAGGAAATACAGGTTTCATTATTTTTACATGATTGAAGATTCTGTTTCTTCAGGGCATTCAGAAAGTAGAGAAAGTTTTGTTTCGAGAAAAAAAATCACCCAATTCTGCACAATAAAACCTCAGATTCACTGAAGAACTAGTAATTTTTTTTCCAATACCAGGCTATTGGGATTGAATCAAAAAGAGTAAAGGAAAGTCCTATTTTGTACTAAAAACAGGCCGTTAATGGGCTTCCCTAGTCTGCCTCTTGATAAATTTGATAAATACCCCTTTGCCTCCCAAGATGGAAAACAGAAAATGAATCGTTAAGATATGCATGCCTCTTTACCCCCACTCAGAACAGCCCAGAAAGCCTACACACCAGAGCGGAGCTGTGTGTGACAAGGTCACTCTGGAAAGTTCTTTTATGTCTTAGAATCTTTTAAGCCTCACTTGTACAGAATGGGGTTCACGTTTATTCTGATGCTTGCTCATCTTTACCAAGGGTTTGGGTTGGTTTTTTGTTTTTTCTGGTTTTTTTTTTATAATGGCTATTTGAGATACTGAAAAAAGTCCTCAAAAGATGTCTCTATCTTTATATATACACATATTTATATAAATGTATATTTTATATAACTATAATATATATGTAATGAGCTCTTACCATCTATTTTGAAAACTCATTACAAGATTAGCACCTGGTTCTAAGTATCCTGGGGGGAATCACCATAAATCTCATCATGTGACCCACTCATAAGTGAGAAGCTACGCTGGTACCTTCTCTAGGTTGCTGTATGGCTAACTAACTCTTAGTCTGAAGTTGTTACTTTCTGAAATAAGTCAGCCTTTGGTCGGGGCAGTAATGGGGTTTAAATTTAGGTCCTGGAGCTTGTTAAGCAAGTACTTTACCACTTAAGCCATATCTCTATTCCGATCCTGCTTGATAGTTATTTTTAGCTAGGGGCTCATTTTTTTCAATTGTTATTATCTTTAGTTTTACAGAGGAGTTTCAACTCAACATCTGTGAGTGCAACGTCTCTTGGTCAATGTCATTCCTTTCCTCATTCTCTCCCATCTCTCCCAACCCCACCCATCCCCTCAGCTTATCTAGTTCCATTTTTCACATACATTAATATTATGACTGTATTGGCACATCCTTCCTCTCTGCATTTGCCCATACCACCCCTCCTCTTGATCTCAACCTCCAACCCCCCACACAAGTTCTAACTTCTCAGTATTCGTTTTGTTAAACTGTAAATTAGCTGCTGAAAGAAGTTACACATTGAAATCACATTTCAGTTCGTATATTCATAGATATAATGCAGATGACCCTGTATACGTTTCATATAGTTATGTACACACATATATGTAATTTTGAACAGATTCACACATGTAAGAGAAAGCTTGTGTCTCTTTTGACGCATAGTGTTGCCCTGAATCAGCCTGAACTGTCATCGTCTTTCTGCTACCTCCCATAAAGCTGGGATGACAGGCACGCACCACCAGGCCTGGCCCAGTGGTCAGCTTTTCTGAAAGAGCTTTTGGAGAGTTGTGTGTATCTGGAGTTAAATCATGTAGACACTGAAAACTTTTGAGAAGCTACTGGCACCCGGTTAATGTTTAAAAATGAGTTGAGTTCCGTGTCCTGAAATGTTCAGTCTAGCTGGAAGAGAAACTGCCTGAAAATGGCAAAGTCTCTTTATTTCCTCAATAGTATCAAAATTCACAGAAAACAGGGTTTTAAGGATTTTTTTTATTAAGTTTTCAGATCAGTTTTCATGAAATGTAACTCAGCTCTCACTCAAGTGTCTAACAGTAACATATTGATACAAATCAACAGAAGCCAGGAAGTTCAAAGTATGACAAACTGTCTTTAGCTCACTGGTTTAGTAAAAACAGAATTTGGAGAGGGAAAGATGTTAGCAGGCTCACTCAAAGTTATATTGGCTGGCATCAATCTTTTTTTTTTTCTTTTGAGCTAAATTTTTCTTATGTTAACCAATTTCATATCTTGGTATTTTAAAGTTGGAAGGGAAGTTTCCAGATAGCTCAACTCAAAGGAGTTGAGAGTTACATATCTCCTAAAGTACACAGCAATTTAACATGTACTTTGACTATAGACTAGATTAAATCACTCAAGCTCACTAACGTATTTGTGTGTGTGTGTGCATGTGTGCACACATGAGCACACACGCATGCATACATGCACACACACGTGCGCGCGCGCACACACACACACGCACACGCACACATGCGCGCGCACATGCCAATACTGGGCCTTGACCTTAGGGCCTTGCACTCTTGCTTGGCTTTTCCCGCTGAAGGCTAGTGACACAGTTCCACTTCCAGATTTTTGAAGGTTAATTGGAGATAATAGTCTCAAGTCTTTCCTGCCTGGTTTGGCTTTGAACCACAATCCTCAGGTCTCAACCTCCTGAGTAGCTAGGATTACAGATAAAAGCCACCAGCATATATAATCTCCCTAACTTTTAAAACTCTGTGTGTGTGTATGTGTGTGTGTATACAGAGACAGAGACAGAGAGAGACAGAGAGAGACAGAGGCAGAGACAGAGACAAAGAGAGAGAGAGAGACAGACAGAAAGAGACAGACAGAGAGGGGTCAGCCTTCCACATGCTGGGATCACAGACCTGCTCTTATTTAATGTAATAATTGAATGTTTTGAATAAAAGAAGCTCACCAGGAGCCTAATCCTTCTTTCTAGTGCTCTTTTTTTTTCTGTGCATTTTTGCCCTAAAGAAGCAAATTCATTTCTGAATTAAATTCTTACCACCTGTCTTGGACAAATTCTGTGTTACAGGGGCAGCAAGGCTCCACCGATTCCTTAAGACCTTTGCTGGCAGTCAGAGCGCCAGGTGCCTGGAGTAGCATCACTGAGACTGCGTGGGGTGGGGGTGGGGAGAGCAGGCTGCAGGCACAGGCTATGACTCATCCTAGTGACAACAATTTCCATTCTTATCTCCATAGAAGTGGAGCTGGAAATGAGTCATTTTGTGAATTATAGCTGACCCTCAATTACACACACTTGCAAGAGGTATCAAACAAAAACCACTGAAAATTGTACATGCCTTTTAAGCAATCATGCCAATGTGCCCAGGGATGGAGGTGTGTTTCACTGGTAAAGTCAGGCTCAAGACCCTGACTTCAATCCCCTGTACTTCATGCCTTCTACCCTAAGGGGAAAATATTTTATTTCTGGTGTGCTGGGGATCAAAGCCAGAGCCTCAAGCATGCTACTCAAGTGCTTTGTCACAGAGCTACATCCCCAGCTCCAAGAAAAAAATATCTAAATATGCTTTCCTTTTCAGTAAATTCTTCCCACTGCTGCTAATGAGCAGCCAAATACACTGGCTTGTGTTTAATCTAATTGCCTACCTATTCTTGTGTTCTAATGGATGTTATCAACTTCAGACAGAGTCAGAAGACCAGAAAAAAAGAAAGGGAAAAGAAACGGAGGACCTGGACATTTACATAATCACAACAATAATACTGGAACAAAAGTTATTAAAGATTTATGAATCATATTTCTGGAATGTTTCCAGGTAATATTTTTGGACTTCTGTTGACAATGGGTAACTAGAACTACAGAATCATGGGTAAGGGCAGGTAGGCAGGAGGGTGCTATACTCAGTGCTGAAAAAAATGAACAAGACACTGAATCAGACGCTTACTGTGATTTGTTTAGATTTTTCAAAATAATGAGGGACAATCCATTTTTCAGTGGTCAATAGGAAACCACTAAGGATTCAGAAAATATTTAAATATTTTACAATGAACTGGTCAAACCAAAACCATTTTTAAAAACAAGCTGAATTATGTATAAGGCAATGAGTATTGTCCCTTTTATTGTAACAAATTAAGAGCTTTCTATTGTTTGCTTGACTCCGACATGTGGCATACAGAAAGTGAAAGGAATTATCTTTACTTTTGCCTCGATCAATACAAACTCACGATAGCATGTGACAGAAAAGAACTACTACTGGTTGGTGTGGAAGCCATTGTTTCTGATGCAATGTCCATCACAAAGCCAGTTTTGATCCAGAATTGGATCGAAGCAGAGATCCCTGAATCCAGACAGAGATCCCTAGGCTCTGCACCTTTAGGTTCAACCCACTGAGGATTAAAAATACTCAGGGAAAAATATTTTGCTTAGATTCCACTCAGCTAGAATCTTTTGCTTGTCACTATACTCTAAAAATTACAGCTTCAGAATTTATATGACATTTTGTTCTATCACATATGATAAGCAGGGGTGGATGTGCATGGGTTATTTGCAAATATTATACCATTTTATGGAAAGAATTGAGCATCTGGGATTTGGGTATGGGCAGGGGTCCTGGAATCCATCCTCCATAGATACTCGGGAACAAATGTGCTTATTTTAATGTTTTAAGTGTTAGGACTGCGCTTGCATTTAGTGAGAACTGGAATACTAGAAAAACAACTCATGAAAAGAAAAATGAAGAAACCCATTGCCATTTATAAATCTTTCTGCTACCAAAAGCAGAAAGTAAGTAATGTGTCCCCAAAGGTATTTTTTTGCCATTTAAAAATACCAAACAGTAGTAGTGGCCCAACATCGACACTGCTACCATTTAACCTGCAATTTGGACAATTTGTGTAAGGATGAAATTACTTTGTCTTATGACATAAGGAACAGATGCTACTCATTAACACACAGAAATGCCTAAAACAGAGTTTTCAAAACGGATGAG